TCGCGGCCCTTGCCTGCGATCGAAGAGGGCTTTGTGGCCCTCGCCAACAGCCGGCGAGGGCTTCACTGCTCTCGTCCAGTGGCCAACAAGGTCCGGTGACCCTTGCAGGCCATTGTCAAAAAAACAAGGAGAGAATGAAAAGAAAAGAAAAAAAAATTTAGAGCTCATTTGGCAAAAATGTAATATATTTAAGATTTTTTGGATAATTTTTCCTCTCTCGAGTACACACAGGGCACCGCAACAATCTTCGTGCCTCAAACGAACCAAGCGACCCTTACAAGGGAAACCCTTTTTACTTGACATTCGTCAGAAGAACTTTTCGAAAGTCTTCCAATTTCCTCCAACTTATTATTGTCAATCGTTTCTTCAAGCAAAGCTTGAAGAAACGAATGGCACGAGTGCCATTCGGCACTCGTGCAAGTTCGAAGACATCATTGACCAAACATAATCCCCAGTTAGAACAGGCTTGCCCCGGAGTCGTCACCAAGTGTTTCTGCTTACTTCTTGAAATTGAGGGAGTGATCTTACCGATGGTAAACTTCGTGCTCATTTACGTCATCAGGAAATTAAAATACAGCATGCTTGTCCTAAAACTCCTGAACAAAATGGACTCGCTGAGCTTCAACACGAAAATAACACAGATCTTGGTTTAACACTGCTGTTTCATGGTGAAGTGACGCAGAGGATTTGAGTGAAAGCCTTTGGGACCGTGGTTTTGGCTGATCAATCGGTTACCTTCGCAGACACTCTCTTGGAGAAGTCCATTTGAGATGCTATTACATAAAACACCACATTATGGAAGCCTCTGGACTTTTGAAGACAAATTGTTTTGCTTAGTGAGGGGATTATGCGGAAAATAAGATCGAGCTGCGATCACTGCTTTGTGTTTTCTTGGGTACAATGAGTTTCATGACGGGTATCGCTGATACTATCCACCAGTCGGTCGTACATACATTTCTCTTCATGTTGTATTTGACGTCCTACCCATTCAAGGCACTCGGCTCATCATTTGAAAATTCTCATGCAAATGAATTAACGAAAGTTTCATGAGTTTCTTGCAGGAGAATGTGGATTGAATCCAGTATCGGATCCATATCCATGCACTTCATCGTCTCCACCCAAGGAAGACCTATATAATGAGACAGATAATCATGAGCAAGCCTTCTTTGGTGGAAATTGCATCTGATTCAATCGGCGTTTCTCAATTTTTTTCGATTACTTGGATGCTGATTGAGGATGTCCACAAACGCGGAGGTCTACCATTGGTTTTTGTATCTTCTTTGGAAGATATTGCATCTGGTGGTGCGCTAGAAAGCATCCTACAGTTGCACGATCTAGCACAGAAGCTGAGCACCGCGCATTGGCGTCGACTGCTACCGAGATTACTTCACTTTCATTTATCCTTCGAGATGTTGGAGCTTTTATTCACACTTCTCCAATCCTCCTCTATTGTGATATTGTCTTTGCTCTCATTTGACACCAAGGGGAAAAAATGTGTGGCAAAGCAGTGGGCGATGGACACCTAGCTTAACTGATGGAATTTCATTATATGTTCCATCGATTGCGTAATCAAAAAACTCTTTTACACTAACAATATATGCTCTAATTTTTCTTTATGATATCATCATTCAAAAGGATCGAATTCATTTTCCCCGACATTACATGGTACTTTGCTCAAATTTCATTTTTACCTGACCATGGTTTATGGATTGTATGCAATCACAATCATTAATTTATAAGGAACACATTCGCCCCTCAATCTAGATTGTGAGTTGGATTCTCAATTGAAAAGAAGTTGAAGTTACCAAACCCACCGAAAATTAGGTAGCACACGGGAGCCATTCTGCACCCTATGTTTTGTCGGTCTACGTGTTGAAATCATGTCCACATATGTGATATGAACCTTTTTTTTAAAGCCCTTACGGTACATGATCAATGTGCAATTTTGCATGCTTTTACGTAGAGTGATGTGTTGTCAGATGCTTGGACTTACAATAAGATAGAAATGATGATGTTATTGCTCAAGCAATTGGTGGACCTAAGTTACCTATATTGGCTTGGATTATCTGGTTAGGTTTTATAGACACCTTATACTTTGCCCTGTGACTTGTTAAGTTTGACCAAAGTTTGATCAATTTTGATCCGAGGTTGGACTTCGTCAAAAGCCCGATCAGATGGTGAAAATGGATGGTATTCGTCGAGAGCTTCTCCGACGACACCCAATTTGCTCCAAGCTAATGCCGGGCTCATCGGATATCTTGTCTTTTGACCTGGGTCATTCGATCATTTGACTTTAACAAAGCTCGTGATTTTAGCTGATTCAAAGTTATTCTGTTGACATTCAACTCACGAGCTTTTCCGTGCATTGAGAATTGGATCGATGGGCAATTGAAATGAGGGGAAAATTGCTACTCCAAATCTGAGTCAAATTGTTCTTAACAAAAATCACAAAAACACAAATTTGGAAAAAACGAATAAATAGACCGAAAAGCAGGCAGTCAAAACACAAATATCAGAACATGATCGGATCAGAGAGAGAGAGAATTTACTCAAAACAAGCTAAAACCGGGTCAGCCATTTTGATAATCAACTCCCGAGACGTAGTTTTGAGACCGATCAGGGTTTGGTCGCCTAAGTCATCGAAAAACGAGGCGGCCCCTCGTTTAGAACCCCGATGTTGAAATTGTGATTTGAGTGCGCGTTCTAAAACTAGAAATCACAAACTTTCCAAAATACGAGAACCACGCGAATCCAATCCAAAAGAAAAACATGAAAAATTGGAAAATCGGAAAAAAAAAAATTAATCATTCGCAACCATGTCAGCCACTCCAGCTCACCCCGAGCTGGATTAGAGGAACCCTGGTCGGGGTGAATCGAGAAAGCCTGTTCCTACCTCAAAGACGACCACTGCCCCCATCATCTGATTCATGTTGAGCTCCCCATCTCTCTCTTGTCCTTAAAGGTTGGTAGTCGTAGTCCCTCTCTTTAGAAAATAAAAAAAATTAGGTAATTGTAATGCCTAGACACACACACACACATATATATACATATATATATATATCTATATATTAGAAAAACTAAATACGTTGTTATTATGTCAAATTAGCAATAAAAAAGAAGGAACTTGAGTTTGTCATGACACTCTTGGAGCGGACCCCGAGACGGCTAATGGATTACTCAATGAATGCAAACTATCATCTTGTGAGGTGGCGCTTACACTTCACATGAACTCTCCTAAACCCTATTGATCGCACCTTGGTTTCCCTCAGTAATTTGGTATTGTCTTAGGCTTCGTTCGTTTCGTGAAAAATATTTTTCAGGAAAACATTTTCTAGGTTTTCTGGTATTCAGGAGGCGGAAAATAAACTAACCACAGAAAACATTTTCCCTCAATGGACAATCACTTTCAAAAGTGAGGAAAATATTTTCCACTTTTTGAAAAGAGGAAAACATTTCCCCCCTCATTCTTTCATCATTCATTATAATTATTTTTATTTTCTTTTTTTAAAATTCTATTTTTTTAATTATCTTTTTTATTTTTTCTTTCTTTTTCCTTCTTCTTTCTCTTTTCTATCTTCTTCTCCGACCGGTCACTAGCCACGGCGGCAGCCGGTGACCGGCCACGGGCAAACTCGACCTCGCCAAAATCTAGTGAGCTCGAGCCTCGCCGGCTTGTAGCAAGGCTCAAGCTCGCCCGTGGCCGGTCGCCAGCCGCCGTCATGTCTGGCGACCAACCGGAGAAGAAAAAAAGAAAAAAAGAAAAATAAAAATATTTTTAAAAATAAAAATAAAAAAATTATTAAAAATATTGCAAGGAGGAAAATCTTTTCCATACTGAACAACGGAAAATATTTTCCAAGACTTTTTCAGATTTTAACCAAACACTAGAAAATTATGCTATTTTCCAGGAAAATGGTTTTCTGGAAAACATTTTTAAAAAACGTAACATTTTTTACGAAATGAACGGAGCCTTAGAGTCGCCACTAACCTATTTACTAAGCTAATTATGAAATGGCCCGACACTGTGAGATGGTCCGAGACGAATTGAGCAAGTCACCACACCACGTCCATAGAATCATTTTGGGAGACTCATTTGTTTCCAAATTTTAGAAAATCGATTTTTGTAAACTCTCACCGATATGGAATCCGTGGAGATCCCTGATTCACGAGGCACTACAAGGTTAGTATTTGGTCGATGTGATCATCACGAAAAAAAAAAGGCTCGTTGATCAAGGGTATGCTTTTTTAAATCTGGTTAAAGAAAAGGGACATGATGATTCATCAGGAAACTTGAATCTCCTTAGTCAATTTGATTAATTGGCAATTTTAGTGAGTTTCCCTCTCCTTCTTTCACGTTGATGATCTCATTAAATATCTCATAAACCCTCACTCTATTCACTATTTCATCATTCTATTTGTAATTTCTTTCGATTTAAGTAATAGCCCTTTTCAATTCTACAGCTTCAGATTACGATTACGACAGTTTCAGATTACGACAAAACGATGAAGTCTGGACAGAGAGATTCAATCTAGAGATATTTTTGATTTGCAAGTGAAGTGAAGGAGATGAACAGTTTCGCCGTTATTCTTCAAGCTGTGGTTCAGAGAATAAGACAATGAATAGTACTTTAAATCCAATCAGCAAGACACGTGGATTTATTGTTAAGGTGGAATAGTCAAGTTTGATAATCAATGGTTCTAAGTTAATAAGGGTCATATTTGAGATTTAAGTGAAAGTTTGTGCTTTTTTATGAGACAAAAAAAGTTGGGGCCAGAATTGTCACTCGACCTAAAGTTGGTACTTTTTTACGGGATAAAAAAAGTTCGGATCAGAATTATTCCTTGACCTAAAGTTGGTGCTTTTTTTTTTTAATTTGGCCAAAGAAATTGTGGAATATTCCTCGTAAAAAATGAAACGATTCCTTTCAAACGAGAGCCCGTTGCCTTTATATACGGAGGCCTCCATGCCGTAGCACGTACACCACTCTCTCTCTCTCTCTCTCTCTCTCTCTCTCTATTCTTGAATGCAACGAACCAAGAAACACCTCCCTTCGCCCCTTTTTCGGCTGCATGCATTTACTAACTTTGACTTCTTGAACAGTCTATCTACTCATTTCCGCCGTTGCAGAACAGAAATCGAATCGTCTATCTGAAGCTCTCCGGGGAGAAGCAAGAAGCAGAGGGAGGCACCATTTTCGCTGATAGTTAAACCCTCCGAGACTGTTCAGGTTTGTTGCCCTGTTCACAGACTGATGTTTCTTTCTTTTCTTGCTGGGTTTGATGGGTCTGCCATATTCGATTCGACGATCTTGCGTGCTCGTTCATGTCTTGAGAAGCTTCTCAGCAAGTGAACATCATCAGAGATACAGCTAGAGAATATACCGCTACGCGCTTTTCGACTTTCGTGGACTTAAAACAGAGTTTCGATTCTTGAATTCTGAAGCATCAACGAGAGATCTTTGTCGTGAGAAGTGACTTTCGATTCGGGGTGTTTGATTTTTGAGGATTTTCACTGTTTGTTTTTTTGTTTTTTCCTTCCTTTTACACCATTCCCCTGTTTCTTATGCTGTCTGTCGTTCGCATCTTCACTCGAGTGTTCTGGAATTGGCTCGGTTGAAGTGGCACGAAGCAGCTTAGCTCTCTAGATGGGCCTTGGGCTTCTTCCGCTCACGATAATAAGCTTTTATTATTATAATTACGTCTCACTTTTCGTGGTTCTCGTGTGATTGTCTTCACGGAGCTTCGGTTTTGCTTTCACATCCTTAGGCCAAGCCAAATTAATCGATGAGATCAGGTTGACATATGACCCGTGACCTACGACGTACATCTACCAAACAAAACACCCATCTTTTGTATTACGAAGATTAATAAAGATAATTGAATCATGCGAAATAGTTATTGTGGTCTCCCTTTGTTGTCCTATGATTTTCTAGGATGCTCTTAAGTCCTTTTCTCACTTCACTTTCACTTTCACTTGTCCTCTCTTTTGGCTCGCTCATTTAAACACTAGGACCCTCCAAAAGAGTACTGTTCACATGCATGTGTTCCCACAAATATGTCCTCTTATTTACTACATGTTCACATGTGATTTGTTCCTTAGCTTAACGTGAATTACAGTAATAGCATTCACTTTGGTTTTGGCTATTGCGAAAAAGTTGCAGAGACATTACTCATGGCAAAGGAACAACTGCAAGTCCTAAACGCTCTCGATGTGGCCAAGACGCAGTGGTACCATTTCACAGCGATTGTGATCGCCGGCATGGGATTCTTTACCGATGCGTACGACCTCTTCTGCATCTCCCTCGTCACCAAACTGCTTGGCCGCATCTACTACACGGCGCCGGGCTCGGCCACCCCAGGAAGTCTCCCCTCAAACGTGTCCGCCGCGGTCAATGGCGTCGCCTTCTGTGGCACCCTCGCTGGCCAGCTCTTCTTCGGCTGGCTCGGCGACAAGATGGGCCGGAAGCGAGTCTATGGCATGACCCTCATGGTCATGGTCCTATGCTCTGTCACCTCGGGTCTCTCCTTCGGCCACGAACCGAGAGGGGTCATGGCCACTCTGTGCTTCTTCAGGTTTTGGCTCGGGTTCGGAATCGGCGGGGACTACCCTCTCTCGGCCACAATCATGTCTGAGTATGCCAACAAGAAGACTCGGGGTGCATTCATCGCTGCGGTCTTCGCGATGCAGGGTTTTGGGATTCTGGCAGGTGGGATGGTCGCCATCATAGTCTCCGCGACTTTCAATTCGAAATACCCTGCTCCGGCGTACGAAGCTGACCCAGCACACTCCACCGTGCCTGAGGCTGACTACGTGTGGCGGATCATCCTGATGTTCGGTGCCCTCCCTGCTCTGCTCACTTACTACTGGCGCATGAAGATGCCCGAGACAGCCCGCTACACGGCCCTGGTCGCCAAGAATGCCAAGAAGGCCGCGGCCGACATGTCGAAAGTCCTCCAGGTCGACCTTGAGGTGGAGCAAGAGAAGGTGGAACGCCTGGCCCAGAAGCAGAGGAACGAGTTCGGCCTCTTCTCAAGGCAGTTCCTCCGCCGCCATGGCCTCCACTTGCTTGGGACGACAACCACGTGGTTCTTGCTCGACATCGCCTTCTACAGTCAAAACCTATTCCAAAAGGACATCTTCACCGCCATCGGGTGGATCCCCAAGGCAAAGACCATGAACGCCGTTGAGGAGGTATTCCGAATCGGCCGGGCGCAAACCTTGATTGCCATGTGCAGCACGGTCCCAGGGTACTGGTTCACCGTGGCTTTGATCGACCGGATGGGTCGGTTCGCGATCCAGCTGATGGGCTTCTTCTTCATGACAGTGTTCATGTTTGCCCTCGCGATCCCGTACCACCACTGGACGCTGCCCGACAACCGGATCGGGTTCGTGGTCATGTACTCGCTCACCTTCTTCTTCGCCAACTTCGGGCCAAACGCGACCACGTTCGTGGTGCCCGCGGAGATATTCCCGGCGAGGCTCCGGTCGACGTGCCACGGGATATCCGCGGCGGCCGGGAAGGCCGGGGCGATGGTGGGGGCCTTCGGGTTCCTGTACGCGGCGAACGGGATCGGCGTGAGGAAGACACTGATCATATTAGGGTTCGTCAACTTCTTGGGCATGCTGTTCACCTTGCTAGTGCCCGAGTCCAAGGGTCGTTCGCTTGAGGAAATGTCCGGTGAGCATGTGGAAGAAAATGAAATCGAGTCGAGGCATCGAGATGGTGGAGAAAATTAGAACAGCGCTTCGGTTAAACCAACCAATTAGGTCTCTACTTTGATATAAGCTGAAAAGCTATGTGCTTTATAAAGGAAGTTGCATGATAGTCGATGTAATTTTATGAGATTATGATGAGGAAGTAATGTGTAATGTAGATTTTTGGTAAGTGTTTTATTACATGTGCTCCTTAAAAAAAATATTTGGGAAATGTTATTTTGTAACTGGGTATATGTTAATCTTGTCCCAAAGACAGATCAGTGCGTTGACCGTTACCAAATTATTATTTTGGCATTCGTTGACTGAAGGGCGGACAACTTCATGTGAATCCAAACAGTTGGTCGAGAAGTTGAGTAGAGTCCGAATTTGTAGACATTTAATAGGGACTTGGTTGACTTGTGTTCTTGACTAGTCACATCCAACCCACATATGAATTCACGACATTCTAGACTTTCTAGTGCACGCGATCCATACTGGTACTGATTTGCTCCTGATTAGCTCAAAAAAATCAAATAAGAAATGAGCACATGCTTTTTCGTACGCAAGGCTTTTTTGTTCTTTTCTTTTTCTTTTGGGACTGCTATGTCTGTCAAACTCATGACTGAAAGCCAATAGTAGCTCCTTGTCCTTAGACCTGGTTCGTTTTACGGCAGTGGGTCGACCATTCACAAGAGAGTTAATGAAATTCCAATCTTGCCCTCATTAATTTTTCGTATTCCTCTTTTGCACATGAATGTTGCGTTGTTCATCGGACAATTGGTTGTTTTCATCGCTCTAGCGACAGTCACCGAGAGTTTGGAGGGTTGCGGCAAAGTTGCTAACTTCGTCTGAAGTCGCGCGACCCCGTGAAGGCAGTAGCTACTCCTTCATCTGTGTTGCTGCCTCATTTGCTTTGCCTCTGTCTAGATCGCAACCCCGGCAGAGCTTAGGGTTGCGTGACCTCAACAAAGGTCGTTGCTTGAGTTGATGGTCATCATTTGTGTCTTTCGCCTGAGTGGCGAGGATTTGCAATTTTTGTTGTTTTTTTATAAACAAAAGTCTCTTACCCAAATACAATTTACAAAACCCAATTTCAAATATATTTATATTTTGTGAAAACCCTTTAACCCGTATGAAAATAGTGTTTTGCATCTCACAAAAACTCTTTAGCTCAAAGTCCTTTGACTTCATAAAAAGGATCTGGGATTCTCTTCCAGACGCAGCCTTAATCAAGAACATTTCGATTCTAAGAAATACTGATCGTTCCTTATTAAGTTACATAAGAAGCATCCCAATATCATTGTAAAGTTCAATTTCGTATATGTTCGCAATATATCTATCATCGTTTTATATTAAGTGTTCACGGTCATTAAACGTGAACCCCGAACCTGCTTTTCACTAAAGCCACCCGACAAGTTTGCTCTGCTTTCTATCCATGCTTTTTTGGTGATCTAGAAAAGCTTACCTCTGGTGTCACGTTGCCATTGAAGTTTCTTGGTTCCATTCAGTGTGAAGTCCCCTTTTCACATTTCCACATTGCCAAATAGTCTTAGAGAGAGAGAAGGAAGTCCATCTTCATATCACTGGTGAGCAGAATCTTCGGCTTTATCACCTGATTCTTCTCCAACTTTAAGTCCCATTTTGGTCCTGTGAATCTTTCACTGCCGTCTGTCACTTCGCTTGTCCTCTTGACGTTTTCCCACAACACACGCAATTGCCTTAGTTTCCAGGAAGTTTACATGGGTGGAGTGCTTTTCATTCCCTCTTTTAAGTGGTTTGGAGTTCATTTTCGGATAATTAAATAAGTGATACGTGAATTTTAGCTTAAAATATAATACGGTCTATAACTTTTTATATGTAATATCATTTTTAAATTTTTAATTTGTTTAATGCGATCTCTCGATTTTTTACAAAATGTTTAATTTATTAATTTCTGGATTATCATATTGCTGGATTCAATATAATCTCTAAACTATCTAGTTTATGGACTAAATCGAACATATACTAAAATTTCAAAGAACATATTAAATAAATTAAAAATTTAAAGATGACATTACACGTTAAGTCAAAGTTTATGAATCATTTATGTTATTTTCCTTTGTTCTTTGGTGATAGCAATCAGCAAAAGTGAGAGGAGACGTAGTCTTTCTCGTCTGTGTCGTTTTGGCTGGCGGAACAACTCTTGGCATGCACATTTTAACCTTTGCTCTTGTTTCGTTGCTCGGATTCTTTTCGAGGGCCCGGTTGACTTTGACGTCAACCAATAACGAGGTCCTTAATAGTGTTCTAGAAATAATTTCGTTCGTTTTTTGGGCCATACAGAAATGATTTGACTTAAAGTTTGAAAGCAATCTTTTTCTTCTGTGGAGGTACCAAGATGCCATCGCTTCAAATCAAGGAGTGGGTTCGACCAAAAAAAAAAATCAAAAAATGGGTAAAATTTATTTTTGGGTTTATTATCCTAAAATAGCACTAACTTTTAATTATTATAATAAAAATGATATAAAAAAAATGCGCGAAACCTCAGGAAGTATTCAGTTCAGGAGATGCTCAAACCTAATTTAAAGTATGTTTAGGATTCTATATTTGTTTAGCACTAGACACACCTAATCTTTAAAGACATGAACGCTATAGTCTTTAAAAGTCACTGAAGTAAACTTAATCTTTCGTAATGTTTAATATAATTGAAAATTTTCCTTTTTATTTTTTAAGGGAAAGGCAAATATAATTAAACAATTTCTTTCTTTGCTGCGCCCAATCAAATAGAGGAAAAAGTAACCACGTGGGCTTAGTAAGTTTCGGTGTTGCATGGCCCAAGTCATTCATGATAGTAATAGGAGATGGATGGATTGCATAGACATTATATGCACATAAACATACTATAGGATCCAAAGATCACGTCTCTACTTATTAGAAAATCGGATGATTTGAAATTAATGCCTTACAATCCGTCGCACTTCACTCCACATGCATGACCCAAAAATATGTACTTTTTCGCTCTCATGTCAATCTTACCATCATTTGCATATCGTAATCTAAAGTAGTCAAAGGTGTCCTCGACCATACTTCCTAAAAAGGCTTCCACTTAATAATCGATAATGGAGATCAATTAATTAGATGACGATACATATTCACCATACATCTTCACTATTGTGGCCCAAAATATCTTGCCTAGTCTAGCTTGCAAAAGCATGCACTGAGCTCCCTCAATTGAGGTTTTGCTTTTACGTTTAGCAATGCCATTTTACTATGGTATTTTGGACATTATGCGGTATCTCACAATCCCTTCTTTCTATCAAAACTCGGTAAAATCTTTACTACATAATTCCATCTCGTTACAAGTTCTCAAGCACTTGATATGTTTACCTGATTTCTTCTCAATCAATGCTTTAAACTTCTTGATCCAATCAAACACATTGCATTTGTGCTTTAGAAAGTATACACATACCTTCCTTGTTAAATCATTTATGAATGTCAGTGTATATCGGCGCCTCCTTTCGAAGGAATTGAAGACTAGCCTTAAACATCTAAATGAATGTAATCAGCCGGTTGCTTAGTCAAATGAATAGCTATAGTGAATTTAATATATCCAAAATATGAACTGCTCGTAGAAGTCTAGTTTCACTGTCTTCTGACTTGTCAATAACCCTTTCTCACTCAACATCTTCGTACTTGCCTCTTTCATGTGCCCCAACCGCATAGGTTAAAGTAAGTCGAGTGTAAGTTTGACTCACCTGATGAAACTATAGTAGCTCCTGTCATGGTCTCTCCTAGTATATAACAAAGAGAATTCACTTTTTCATTTTCATCACGGTCATGGCACCTCGATAGATCTTCAACACTCCACCTTCAACAGTGTGCTTATACCCTATGTCATTGAGTGTCCCCAGGGATATAAGGTTCTTGTTTAGCTCTGATGCATACCTTATGTTTTGATAGTGTGTGCATTACCTCATTATGCATTCAAATCCAAACTCTCCCTATCCTAACAACTTTGCAAGTTGCGTTATTCTCCACTTGAGCTCTACCACAATTTTCAATCCTGTAAGTAGTAAATTAGTTCCTATGACTATGAGGCATCATATGATGAGAAACCCCAAATCTAGCACTCATTCATCTTCAGATGAGCTAGTAGTCATACAAAAGACAGCCTCTACATCACTGGTGCTCTCTTCGGCAACGTTCGCCGCACTGCTTATTGCATTATGCTTATCACCTCTGTTTCTTAGCTTCGGACACTCATGTGCTCCTCGTCGTTAAACGCAAAGCACTTCATGCGACCCTTGGACCTTCGATGGCATGATTTGGACTTGCTTTTACTTCTATTGCTAGATCTACAATGTTGATCTCTACCTCGAATGACTAGTCACCATGCTACATCTTGCGCCAAACCATCATCTCACAACTTCCTCTACCACTACTTAGAGATTATTGCGGATTTTTCCTTTTTCGATGTAATCGTAGTACATCTCTTTAATAGTGAATTGGTAAAGTGCTCCCGTGATTCTGGTAGAAAAGTTAACAACTTCATGCATTGCTTTTCATTAGCTAGGATCTCACCGATATTCTTCAAATCTGTTATGAGTTTGTTAAACTTATCTAAGTGGGTTTTGATGGATGTCCCTTTAGTAAATCGAAACTGCTACATTCTCTTCAACATGTAAAAGTGATTATTTAAACCCTTTGTTACATAGAGAGCCTAAAGTTTTGCCTACAACGTTGCAACGTCTTTTTCCTCTGCCACTTCTATTAACACCATGTCCGATAGGTTCAATAAGATTATATTCTATGCCCTTTCCATTAACTCATCCTTATCAACTTCTTTCATTGTTTCCAACAATTGAGCCTTGCTATCTAATCCTTTGGCCAAACCTTGGATCGTTAATAGCGCTTGCATCTTAACTGTTGAATTTTGGACAATCACAAAAGAAATAACACACAAGAATTAACGAGGTTCAGCAATAAGCTTACATCCTCGGACAAATCTCTCACGGTGTTTCTCTCCTTTTTGTCGTGAGTTTTGCTTTGCCATTATTCTTTCTTTTATACAGAATTAGGTTGCTACAACAAAGGTAACAAGCAACCTGAAATAGGAAAACACTCCTAAATAGGTAGTAAGATAAAAAAAAAATACAATATTGACAATATCTCTTTTCCTAGAATAGGAGATCCAATCCCGCAACACTCCCCCTCAAGTTGGAGCGAAGACATTGTCAAAGGTCAACTTGTTCACCATATCTTGGAATGCTCCT